AGACAGGAAGAAGGAACTTGCTGCAAATCTGCAACTTCCTGGCAAGAGCCAGGATGCAAATCCTTCTACTCTAAAGCCCCCAGAGTGATACTACTTTTTAAACGACCCTGTGAAAAATCTCTATTGGCATTTAGCAGTAAAAAGTCTATGATAAACCATTGGGGAATAGAGAGTTTGCCCAGGAATTGGAAACAATGCATATTTATATTAGCTGATTCATCACAGCAAAGAAACATATGTTTTCATAGTCAGGAAAATATATTTAACTAGGTGAAAATAAAACATAAACCCTGTTCTTCATACTGATATATGTGTTATTTGTGAGTTTTCCCTCATTGACTTAAACTACCTGGATTTTTACAAACAGGTTGTTAAATGAGCATCATTCTGGCTGAAATAAATAAATGTGTTGTCTTAACTTCTACAGGTAGCTGAAAAACATTTCTCCATGTAATAGCAGAAATCAGCCTGAAACCATTACCATTAGTATTACTTCTTAGTTGTTTGCTGCTGGTAAAGCACTGAGCCCTGAATTTCAGCAGATCTTCCATCCAACAAGCAATGACACACCAAAACCGGAATGCTCTGAAGAAACCAGGAACTGGAACAACTGCTCTGAATGGACTGCTGTTGGCCAAGGCTGACAGGTCTGGCAGAAGAATGAGAATGGAAGATAATTTGGGGTAGAAGTTATCCATCTGTCTTCTTTGGGCAAATGGCACCTACAAACTTTTGCTTATAGTTCACAAACTGTTCAGTGCTCAGAAAGGTGGAATCCAGATTGCCTGCCTGCGAGCAGGTGTCTCTAGATATCCAAGGGGGGAAAACAGTATTTTGAGTCCTTTTATAGACATCCACATTACTATGAGAAGGATAATGGTTTTCCCTTTTGGAAATGACACATAGCTAATCAGTCATTGACTTGAAAGCAACTGGTTGTTGCACCTATAGCAGAATGCACAGCATCCATTCCCACACGAGTGAACACAGCATCAAATCCAGTAAATGCCTCAGGGCTGATCCCAAAAAAAAAATGAAGATCCTGGGAGGTTGGTAAGAGATTTACACTTGCTTGAACTATCAAGCAGTTGCTGTTCTTTGCAGGGTGACCTTTACTACATACCTCATAAAGGTCAATGACGATATTCCCCTCCAGCCCTCGACTGCTTTTCACATTTTCCAGGGCCAGGGTGAAGTAGACCCCTCGAGTGTCCGAGATATACAGGTTATATGTATCATTCTGGTTCCACTCTTGAACAGCTGCAAAGACCTGATTCTCATCTGTGCTGATAATGTGCATGTCCTGTTAAAAGAAGACAAAAGGCCTGTTACTGAGGATCTCAGAATTTCTTTGCCCTTCGGGACATGTAGTAATTACCATGAATTATGAAAGAATAGAGATGGAGCATGAATTATAGGTATGTTAAACAACTTTCTGTTAGAGCAAGCCAATAAATTACCACCATTGTGACTTTTCTGCATTTCATTTTTTTAATGATCACCAGCTGGGCAAAAGGTTTTTGCTTTCTTCATTTTTGGTAGCTTCAAGGAATTTCATCCATTTTCATTTTTTATTTATAAATTTGAAAGCCAGTTTTATCACTCCTGGAAGATTCACAGCCTTGGAGTCCTAATAGTCACTAAGCATGGTGTAGCACCAGGCTAAAAGCAGCAATAATTTCCATTTACATGCTGAACTGACAGGCTTGTGCTTCCAACTGGTAAAGGGATAGTTTAAAAAAATCTGGGAGTTCACATTTATTTGGAGGTGAGGTATAGGGATCAGTTTGAGCTACTGCTGATAGGGATTTTTAATAACACACATTCCTATTGAGAGTTTATCTGAGATCAATTATCCCACTATATATAGACTATCAAATAATCCACCCACTAACCTTTGCTGGATTTCTGCTGCTGACCAAGATATAGAAAGTCCAGCAAGGGTTTCTCCATTTAGTTTTAATATCAAAAAAAATTTACAGTGCATTTTCTCACTATTATTTTAAAACAGGTTCATGGAAATTATTTCCACAGTCTTGATGAGTATTGAAGGACTTCATCCTTGCTGCTATTGTTGAACAAACTAACTCAGGTTCGGCTAGAAGCAAAATGACTATGGTTATATGAGACAACATTTATCTATTTGTATCTATTTAAACTTTCCCCAGGGTGCCAGGAGGCCTTGATTAATTCCTTGCACTGTTTCTGCATCAAGAAACCACAATCCTGGAAGTCTCCCAAAGGGTGAAGTGACCTAATTTTGGGGAAGAATATCTGGGGGAAGATCAGTTCAATATCCTCAAGTTAAGAGGCAACTTAATCTTTTGTGTGAGGGACCTAGATGAAAAGTTGGGATTGATTAGATGGGGCTATTTCTAATAGACCTAACATAGCCTATCACCATGGGATGGGGGAAAAACCATTTGAGGGCCCAATTCTATCCCAGCGAGTGCAATCAGTGGGAGATTCCCCATTTCCTCCAATGAAGGAAGACTAAATCAGGAAGTTTGTTCTTGCCCAGCAGCTATAATTCCTTAAAGATTAAGCAGGCATCCAACGTCTTCCAACAGTGTGAAAATAAAGCAAAATGCCCAATATTTCAATCTGTTTTGACCACTTGCAGTGGAAATACTGCATTACCCTAGTGCCAGCCTCACATACATACAACTCCAACAGAGTTCATTAATCTACAGCTGACAGGATAGTTATTACTGTACAGCAAAAATATTCTAGTCACTAAGGGCAGAATAAACAAGTCTCCTTTACATGGCTACAACACTTTTCATGACTAGCTTAAAAGTACTTCTCATTTTTAAATTATAAAAATATCCCTGATTTTATACTATGTACCAATTCTAAACCAGGACCACCAAAAAATCTGTATTATAACAGGCCAACCTGCGACGACATCAGTCAATAAAGCAGGACAATCAAAGGGCATTCATTCCCTCTATGCATTTGACTTTTTAATGAGGGACAGCTTTCAAGGTCAGTCCATAAGGTGAGACTATAAATAATGTTTCCAAAGATTGGTGTGTAGTCAGACAGTCTGAATCCCACTCCACCACCATGAAATAACAAACAAAAGAAAATGCATCTGTGCCATGCAGTTGTCAATACACTGTGGACTGTGATCAACTCAAGTGGAAATGAGTTGAGATGTAACATTGGGAATCTGAGATGCAACTTTCTCACAACTTTTCAAGTACAAGTTAAAGCAAATATGCCATATCTGCTGGACTGCAGATATCCCATAGACAATAAGAAGGGTAGATCCACCCATAAGGCAAATCTAGTCACCTATCTTACAGCTACCCCTCCAAAATTTTCACTTGTGGAAGAAGGGGGACAGTCCTTATTGCTGATTATCAGCCCTCTGTGAGAGTAGCCTCAAGAGCCATTACGAGACTCCAAGTGCAGCAGTGGTCTCAGCTGCCCATTAGTTTACCCAGAAACTTGTATTCAGTCTAGGCATTGGAAAAGTTGGTCCCTTCTGCTCTACACAGTCCCACAAAATGACTATACTATGGCATTTGAGTATAATTTCATGGACATATTCTCCTTGTTGAGGCTTATTTGATATGGATAGAAAGCCAAGGGTTGCTGTGGTTAAAATGCAGGACTCAGCACTTCGCTTTATTGAACCTCCTATATTTGGCCCCCCAAAATATTACATATCTGTGTTCATAAAGTGTGGACTTACCTTAGGAAGAGAGTATTTGGGCAATTTAATCTGTGCAAAAGGCTCCCGTCTGTATGACACGTAGTAAGTTGCTCTTCCGCCAGTTGTCACCTGTGGAAACACCAGAGAAAGTAAGTGATGACTATTCTGAGACACTCTGTGCTGTCACCTCTAAGATCATTTGACAACCTTTCTTTCAGATATCTTTTCTATGACATGTGCAGCTGTCCCTAAAGGTATCTGCGTATCTCCAAGGAAATCCCAAATTTGAGAGGGCTGGAGGTTATTTATTTAAGTTGTGCTATTGAACTTTCCATTTTGTCTCTCATGATTCAATTCCGGTGTGCTTTTAACATCTCAGGAAAAAAGGGAATAGTGGATATAAAGTTTAAGGTCCTGAATGGGAGGAAGAGGATCATCTGGTTCCCTCACATGGTTCCAACTCAACTACCTTGGGCAAGTAATTTAAAGTCTCTGTGCTTCTGTTCCTCTCCTGTAAGTAGGAGATAATCCCTCTTTTCTCTGCTGCTTCTCAGCCTTGTCTACACTGTAAGTCCCTTGAGGCCAGGATTGTCTTCCAACAACCTTTTACAGTGACTAACAGAAGAGATCCACACCAGCACCATTTAATGCTAATAGTAAATGTGCTCTTGGAAAGCTGGAGCTAAACTCTTAGATGCCCTTTGTCACTGTAAAACTGGTTTCTCTGAAGTCATACTGTCTCTGAAAGAGGATATGGGGGGGAACTGATAGACATCCAAATCTGCGGATTTATGGATTGAATGAATTGTATAGGCTACACATAAATGCCATGTAACAATGAGATCTAGCTCTGATAATTTGTAAAATATGGGATTTCAAACCTGTCACTAGTCGCTTTTGCTGTAGGTGTTCATTCCAGCACCATTTCAGGCCTGGCTACACCAAGGCTTACATCAGTGAATTTCCTGTATTCTGCTGTTTTGGCAGTCTTGCAGGTCTTAAGATAAAAAAATGCACAAAGCACTTCTCTATTATATGGAATGTCATTTGTTGGCTTCTTAAGTTTCCAATAAAGCTAACAGAAAGGTCCTAGATTCTCTCCCAGATATACATCCTTTATCTGACAGTGATATTTCAGAATGAGCTTACATAGAATATTGCTACAGCATCAATTGTATTCTCAGCAATGATATAACCTCTAGATAGTGGCTTTCTTCCCTAGAGAAGCTGTCATTCGAAGGACACGATATTACTGGTCATGAAATTTGATATCTAATCAGCTCAAAATAATGTTTCTTCATTGAGAGTTTGAAGAACTGTAAAGAAAGAAAAGTTTAGAAATAGGACTGCCTTCTACACTAAGACTTCCCCTGATTTTTTCCCATTTTCACTTGTAATGTTATCATAACTGCATTTAGCCCTCCCAAGGCAAAAAACCAACCACTACTATACCACGCACCACATAAGAAGGCCATAAGAATGACCCATATCACAGCAAACAAACTCTATACAGATAACATCCCCCCCTTGCCCTATCAATACATGCCCTTGTAAAAGTCCCTCTCCAGCTCTCTTGTAGCCCCCTTTAGGTACTGGAAGGTGTCCTAAGGTCTCCCCAGTGCCTTTTCTTCTCCAGGCTGAAAAGGTTGAAATAACACTGTTGAGTGTTATTTCTGAAGGATGTATTTCACATCTAATACTACCACATCAAAATAAGTTTTCACAGGAGAGAACAGACTATGCAGTTGACTCATGCTGAGTCCAACTCAAAGGCAAAAATTCACGTTTGAAGTAATTTTGTTTCTCTCAGCTCTGGAAGCATTACTCAAAGGATCGCACACTTCTAGGTCATATTATCTAAATAACACAGGGAATATTTAAACATCCCCTCTTTTGTTATTTCTAACCTCCAGTGGAAAATCCAAATTTTCAAATGATATAACGTTGTCACATGAACTCATTTTACACCACTCCTGATTTCAGCATCACATCATTATTTGTAATGGAGTCCAGATAGGACTGAACGTGTCCAGTGACTACTTGGTAAGGACCCTGAGTTCAATATCCACCTCTTCTGGTGGGCTGAGACATGGTCTTCAACTTGTATTTAACATGCAGACATGAATATTTACATACTTTGTAAATGCTGTGATGACCAATTAAAACTGGGAACAGTCCAACAATCTTCCAGTTAATCCAATGAACATAAAGTGGCAAAAATATCAAGGGGTAATCAAATTCCCCTTTCTGTGCCAAAACAGGATCCACTACAAGTCTGCCACACTCAAAAGGTTTTACACAGGTTTTTTTGGCTTTATCCCACTGCAAATTGGTACCTGGAGGTTTTTTGTTTGGATGCATTGCTTGTTTTTCTGATTTTTAATGCAGAAAGGCAGGATTAAAACAATGTTCAAGTTCACTGTGCATTAGTTAACTCCCTTTCAGCCCTCTACCTGGACTAGGTCACCTTGACAATGGTTTAGAAATAAAAATCTTTGTGGTCTGTGGTCTTTCTGAGCCAGTTAATATGAAGCCACCCACAATTCTTTTGGCAGGAATTGTGTGAAGCTTTTCCCAGCCAGGATCTCATCTTTGCATGATTTACATGCATGGTTATAGCAGTTCCAAAAAAATGATCAAGCCTTCAATAAAGTTTTGGCAAGCACTGTGGTAGAGAATGAATTTTGGAAGGCCCAGCTTAATTTATTTTTATGAACTTTTTCTTTTCCTATGAGCAAACTCTCCAACACTGTAAATCCCAGAGATTATGGTACTGTTTTACCCTCCAATGCCTCCTTTCGGTTCACATTTGATGAATGTCACCCAATTATTTGCTGTGAGCTCATCTGTCATGCTCAGTACAGAATTAGCTGGGTTTGTCTTTTTCTTCCTCCGTTGCTAATGACCAGATCATTAATCTGTTTTTCTGGATTTCTACTTTATGTGTTTAATTGGGCTTATGGCCAGTGGAAATGATTCCTGTGGACAAATGTTTGTTATTAAACACATCTGTCTTTCCTAACCTGTGTTCTTTCTTCCTGGGTCCAGTCATGATCTACTAATTTTCTTTAATACTTTCACATTTTGTATCAAGACAAAAATCTCATTTAACTTATATCAGCTGACACTGAAGAACAGAAACATGAGAAATTTCTCTTTAAAAGCCCTGAAAGTTTCAGTATGTCAGCTCATTCCCTCTCCTGACTTGTGATGATACAGAGCACATGAAACACAGAAAAAACACAGTATGTTCACAAGACTGCAGAGAATTATAAAAAAAAATTCATGGAATATATTGATCTCCATAATTTCTGTGACATATCTAGAAACACACTAAGCCATATCTCATGTTAATGATTGAATATGATTCTTTAAGGGCATGTTTTATTTCCTTCTTTTTTTTTTTTTCTGAGATTGAAGTTAATCTTATGCAAAAAACACATGTCAGGAAAAAGAGTTTGGAAAGCAAGCATAATGAGTTAAGAGGTCCCAGGATGTAATGACGCCTGGATGATGCCAGGAAGTGTAAACCACAGTGTACCAGGCTTCCTTCTCATCTTCCTGGCTAGCTGATGCTGGGACTCATAAATTCCACTGTCAGGCAGGTATTGATGTAACAAACATGGAAGTACTAAATCTTAGAAATGGCCCTGGGCTAAGCAAGACCCCATCTACCTTCTGCTGCTGAAAGAACTTCCAGAAAAGTGAACAGAAAGCTCACAGAATCAAATTTTATAGTTCTTCTTTGTATTAAGTAGTTGATAGACTATACTTGGTATTATTTTCAGTGAACACCTCACTTGTTTTCTGAGGTGAATTCCTCTGCTTGTAGAGTTCCCTCCCTTCCAGTTAGATAAAATGAATTGGTAGAAGTCAAAGGCTGAGAAACACTCTATCAGTATTGTAATGGCATCCTGGATCTATGTTCTCCAATTCCATAGGGAGCCCTGGCATCCCTCTTCACTGCTTTAACTTTAGGTTCCTTTTCTCCTTCTTGTGGGCATAAAATCCCCTAAATCAAATTATGGCTTAAAGCACAGAGGAGTGATAACAAGGTCAGGAGAGAGGCTGCTCCATTCACACCCTTAACGAGGGATTTTGAGGTTCTTCAGAGCTGGCAACTGCCTAAGCCTTGCATAGGTTTGCCAGTATGAGGATTGAAAAGCTGTGCTTCCTCTCCTAAGCCTAACCAAAATGACAGTCACAAGAGATTCAGAGGGTAAGAACACATCTACATGAGCCTAGTATAATGTGTTCTTTCTTGATTATCCACCATGGCCAGGAAAAACCATCTTCTGGATATTTCTGTGTACAGAGGTTCTCCACTGCTCCAGCATAAATCCCATCATGATAGCTACCATCTAGTCTGAATTCCCTCCCTGTGGTTTCCATTAATATAATACCTTCTGCACAGCCATTAAAGCAATATGCAATTACTGAGTGTGCCATGGGGACACACAGATCAGTGTTTCTGTGTGCAAAGCACCCTCAAGCTGCCTGGTAAATTCAGCAGGCATGTTTGAAAATATGCCACTTTCTAGAGTGGCAGACCCATCAGAGAAAACTTGCTAAGACAAAGGAGCATTTATTATACTAGTCCAATCCCTGTTCACCTCCCTCTCCCTTCAGAGCTATGATGACACAGCTATAGCAGAATAATCTTCAGTGAAAATACTGCATTTGTTTTAAAAGCAACTCCTGCAGAAAATGTGCAGTTACACCATAACATGAGCCACATCAGAGCTGCAGGTGCACATTACCCACACAGAAACCAGCTTAAGAGAGGAGCATAAGTGTACACGTTATAGCTCTTTTTGGAGGATTTCAGAGGAAACATATGGCTTTGCCAAGGTGACACTTTACATTTTCAGCTGATAAATCAGACAACGTGAGGGGAGGGAAGAGAATGGTAAAAGAAAGTACAGCACAAAAAAGCCTTAGAAGGAAAATCAATACCTATAAATAAATAAATGAAAATGTTAATAATTTTTTATCAACAGATATTTAGGTTCAAGTTCCAAATCTGATATTTGGCACAGAAAAGATGAAACTGTGCTAGAAATTGATGAAATCACCCAGTAGTGAATAGGAAAGTAGCTAACTGCTTACTGCCTGTCTTGCTTTAAGAA